GCACTGATGTCCTACGAATCCTTATTCCCCTTGTTACTATTATGAACAATTTTAAGGCATTAGGGCAATTTTATAAACCTGGAGGTCTTTCCCCCTGGAAACTTTCAAATATCCCAAATACCCATAATTCAGAGATTTCCATTAACTGCAGCTCCAGGCTAAGTAAGAGATCAGCAATTCCATTTCATAATTCAACACAAAGCAGAATGAACAGGACAAAACACCGAACGTGAGAGTGGAATTATGTCATCTTGTCCCAGCCAGAACCCTGAACCCCAAATATCTTCATCCTCTCACTGGCTTTGTCAGTAAGGCTTCACACAATGAAATTCCTGCAGCTTCCTACGTTAATCCATTAATACCTGTGAGAGCAGGCTGAAATCTCTACCCTGGTTATCATTCTGGAACCAAAATGCCCAATAAGCACTATTCCATAAGCTCTGCTCTTCCCTCTTTATTTCACTGAGAAGAAAGTGATTTTTCTGTTTTAACAAGCTGTACGTGTCAGTGCTAGGAGGACACAGGAATGGATTAAATCCACGATCTTTCTATCCCAAGATGTTATCTCTGGTGATGGGCAGCAGCCTTTGTTCCCTTCTGTACTCTCCCTGTATCCAGCAATTCACAGTGCAGGGACTCACAGGTTACATCCAGACCTTCATGTGTTCTACCCACTCTCTGTTCATTGTGAACTCACCTTTTTCAACCTGCTTATGCTTGTGCCCTCCACAGGCTCCCGTGGTAACGAGCATTACAATTTAATTAGCAGACATGATAGGAAACACATCTGACTCTATTCAGGTGCTTAAGCCAGTCTTTCCCAAACAGTGAATCCGATCGCTCTCTAAGGATACAAAAGGGATGCAGGACACGTGAGAGGGGCCAGGAAATTGCTTCAGTTCTCAGCAGAACATGTTCACTGCATGTGAAGAGGGAGAGAGAGAGAGAAGGGAGAGGGAATAAGGACAAAGCAGCCTCCTGGCTTGAATCCAGAAACTGAGCTGAGAATAAATAATAATACGTGTCTAATGATCTAACAGAAACACCCATAATTCCTATTAGCATAAACCATCCTGCTGCCAAAGTCAAGTCTCCTATCATGGCCACGGTGACCAATATGATACAGAACCTGATGTGCCCTAAAGAACACAAAAAAGGGAGAAATGAGGGCGTAAGTCTACTCATCCAGAAATATTCCTCCAGCCGTCATCTCCCAGAAAACACCACAAGGATGCCATACCAACAGCCACCCTTCACTCTACGGGCTCCTTGCTGCTTTCCAAGGCAGGAAATCTCAGAAAGAGCACAAATTTTAGGTTGAACATCTCCACACAACAACACAGCATCCTCTTTACCAAGACGGTAAAAGTGGCCAAACCTGAGGCAGGTTATCCAGCAGAGAGGCAGAGCTCTGGGGAACACGCAGCAGGGGGGAACCAGCCCCAGTTCTCCTCATTTCAACCCTGGATGTCAGCACATTCCTTGCTGCCCCAAGAGGGGACTTAACCTAACTTATCCTGAAAACACACTGAAGTGGAATCACTCAGACAGCTGAGGGGAATAAAAACCCTCACACAGGGACAGTTCCAGTCTCCCACGGCTTTTAACTGCACTGGGCCTGGGCATTCAAGAGAACCTGGTTGGAAAGATGCTCTGCAGCAGTGATTTGTGCTTACTGGCCATCTCACTTGGCAGGAGAAACAAATGAGAGCAGCCTTTGCCTTGCCCTGATTTGGTGCCAGAGACTTGTCTAGATAAGAAACCTGCAATTGTTTAAAAGCCACTGGACTCTCTGGTACCCCTTACTCTGAACCACAAGCTGGGTCTCTGCAATTACTCATACCAACTCCACACTGTTCTCCAGGATTTCATGTTCAGAAACGTTCAGGAATCACTTGCCAACTTGCATTTTTTTCCCCAAATCGGACACTGGAGAGACTGCCATCCATCAGTGGGAACATCCTCCCTCTGGGACAGGCAGCACAGCTGGTTCCCAGCTCTCACCATGGGCCACTGAAACGTGGTAAATGCAGGTGTTGACATGAGCCTGCTCACCTTCGTACCAGGCTGTCAGCCCAACAACCAGAAACCTGTGCTTGTGTGTAATCCTTGCCTTTTAGGCGCTTGCTTCCTACAGGTTTCTCTCATTTCCAAAGTCAACAGACCGTGGCAAATCCAAACCTGAGTTTCTGATGGTTGCAATCTGCTTGAACTTGGTGATCCTTGCTGATCATGTCTTTATAAATGTCTCGTCCCCGAGGTTGGCTTTTCCCTGCTCCTCTCATGTTTTCCTTTCTCTCCCTCTCCAGCCAGAAATGATTTACATGTTTGTTTACTCTGAGCTACATTCATCTGAGTCATTCAGCAACTCTCTACCCACAACCATATTACAGCAAATTTGGAACTGGAGTCTCAGGGAGTGAATATTATGCTGTTGTCAAGATGAGAATGGGGGGGCTAAAGACAGAGAAACTCCAGGCAAAGAAATTTCTTTATATTTACGCCAGTGGAACAATTAGTAGGATTTGGCTCATTTTGTATAAATTATACTACTGTACTTGTAGGAATGATCTTCTGTTTCAAACTAATTTTAGCCACCCTTGAATGCTCTTCCATCTGTTGTAGAAAAAAAAATATTTTTGCACATAGCTATTGTGAATTTTCTCCTCCGAGGTATGTTTTCAAGAACTGTATCTTTCAAAAAATAATGTAATCATATTATTAGCAAGACTCACAGCTCAGCTGACAGTACCTTGCCTATTAAATCCACAACATGAAAAGACCTCAGAATTGACATCCTAAGCATTTTTTTAAGTTTGCCAGAAATAAATCTTTGCAAAAAAGCAAGCTAATCAAAGAATCTTGAGCCTTGCATTACCTTAAATGCAATTCTGAGTAGAAGCTATTCAGAGAATCTACCAAAGCAGAAAGAGGTTAAGAAAAGTAACAATGCCTTAAAAACATATATTACAAAACCAATGAGATTTCAATATGCTAGAATGAAAAGTAATGCACATCAAAATAGAAATCATTGTCTCAGAAGCCCAGTAATAAAAATTAGGAATTCTGTTACTGTTCTATGTACTTGCAAGATAAATTTAAGCTGATCTCAAGCTCAAGTCCTTTTCCATCTAGTTTCTTTTCCCAGCTTAAGAAAAAGCCAGCACCTCAACCTTTTTCTTTACTTCTAATGCTAGAAATGGATGCTGTGGAAGTATCTCAGACAGTTCTTGCCTAGAAAGACTTGCTCCTAGCTGAGAGTGTATTGATCATTGCTGTTATCTCAGAATGAAAGCACAAGCAGAAGGAACAGCAAAGCCACACCACAGAGACCAGCGGATTCACAGTGGGCCAGTTGGATGTTGTGGTCAGGGGAAGTGTTTTCATGTCTTCATCCACTATTTACAGCTTAAAGGGTCTGGGACTGAAGTGTTTCTTCAGCTGATAATTACTGACAAGTTACATGCAGAGAAACTTAGTAAATATTCATGGACCAAACAAAGAGTGACACATATGATAACACCCAAATGTTGATTTTTTTTTTCTTTCCTTGAGAAACGACACCAGATTTCTTTACAAGGGAGTACTACTCAAGAAAACAGCTCCTTTAGTTTGCATTGGAGCTCACTGAACAGACATTTGGCTGCAGTTCGAATGAACTGCTTAAAGATACCGCTTTAACTTCTGACAAGCATTTTTAAACCAGCAATATACTAATCTGCATTTACACAGTACCTCCCTGGCTGCAAAGTGTTTTCATGGGCTTCTGAGTAGCTTCATACAGCCCTGGGAAGCAGTGACACAGGATATGCCGTATTTAAGGAGAAGGCACCAGCACTAAAGAAGGCTGAGAGACTTGCCCAGGATCAGGCAGAATGACCACAGAACAGAATAACCCTCCTCAGTTCTCCCACGGGGACATGAGCGCACACAGAGACACCATAAAGCCATAAATCCTCCTTCCAAAAATGTTCCCTTTCATCTTTGATCCTCGTGGGTCCCTTCACAGTCAGGATATTCTATGATCCTGTGATCTCCTCTCGCATTCTGCACAGGTCGCTGCATTACATAAGCAGGCTGGCAAGCAGATGCACCAGACACAAAACTTAGGGTTTGCATCCGACCATCAGAAAGATCAAATATTTTTTTACTACACAGTGGAAAAGTTAAGAAGAAGTGATCAAACAGACTGGGAGTTCAAAAAAACACCGCTTGAGAATGCAAGGCTTCATACGTGACTGTTTAACCATGCTACCTAGAGCATAGAGAATTTAACGGGAGACTTGCACATTACCATATTCATAACCATGACTTACAAATCTGTTGTCAATGTCACCAAAAATATCACACAAACAGAATGTTTTTATACCAAAGAGACCACTGAAGTCACGGTTCCATAGTAAGCAAATGAACTCATGAAGAGTCTTGAAAATCATCCCCCCCGTTTTTTTTTTTTCTCAGGCTGGGGAATTTGCTAAACTATAAACTGCAAGATGCCCAGTAGTTCAAAGAGGGGTAGATAAAAGAGGCATTTTTTTCTTCAAGCATCGCAGAAAAGAATACCCCTCTTGCATCACTGTCATCGCTCCCATTCTGAAGGCTCGTGGGTCACCCATACGACAGGTCAAGAGATGCCCGAATTAAAAGCAACTTACATCGATATTTAACCCACGCTGTGAGGGTGCAGGTGGCCGGTACATACTGTCATTTAGGGCCAGGGCTGCCCAAATCCATCACCGGTCCTGGAGATGCCGCGCATCCCGCACAGCCCCGCATCCAGCTCGGCTCCGCATCCCACCCGGCCCCGGCGCTGGCAACTTCAGCGGGAGCACCGCTTCACGCCGGGGCGAGGGGTGCCGGTGGGTGCGGGGGCTGCGGACACGGAGCGCTCCCGGCCACCCCCGCCCGCTGCCCGAGGGGCTCGGGGCTCCAAGTTCCGAGGGTGACCGGGGGGTTTTCGGCCCCCTCCTCCCGCCCGGTGCCGCCCCATCCCCGCTCACCTCCGCGCCGCTCCGTCAGGCGGCTCCGCCGGGCCGCGCCGCTCATCCGCGATCCGCGGGGCGGCCGCCCCCTCTCCGCCCCGCCCGCCGCCCCGCCGGCCCCGCTACGCCGCTGCCCGCGGCCCCGCGGCCCCGCGCCGCCCGTGGGCTCCGCAGCGCGGCCGCCGCATCGCGCCCCGCGCCCCGGCGGGCGGCACCGGGCAGGGCTGCGACCCGCCCTCCACGGAAACACCGCGCCCCCGCAGCGCTCCTGCCGCCCGCCGGCAGCCGGGCCCCAGCTGAGCCGAGCCGAGCCGAGCCGAGCGGGGCAGAGCCAAGCGGAGCTCACGGGCACACGCCGCCCCTCGCGCGGATACACCCGCCCCGCACACACATCAATACACCCACCCTACACACCGATACACCCGCCCGCACACATCAATACACCCACCCTACACCGATACACGCCTTACACACACCGAGACACCCGCCCTACACACACATCCATACACCCGCCCCGCACACACATCAATACACCCGCCCTACACATCGATACACCCACCTTACACAGAAACACACCCTTGCACATCCACACCCTCACACCCCCCAGCATCCACCTGCACCGCCGTACACAACCCCTGCACATCCACATCCACAGACACACACACCCCTGCAGACCCACACACATCCACACTCACATCCATCCACCCCCCACCCACTTCCCTGGTTTGGGCTGGGATGGAGTTAATTCCCTCCCCAGCAGCTGGTGTAGGGATGTGTGTTGGAGTCAGTGTGAGGATTGTGTTGATCACATCCCGATGTTGTAGTTGTTGCTGAGCAAGACTCGCCCAAAACCAAGGACAGTTCAGTGTCCCATGCTCTGCCAGCGAGCAGGTGCACAGGGATGTGGGAGGGAGCATGGGCAGGACAGCTGACCCAAACTGGCCAAAGGGATATTTGATTCCATAGAGCTTTCTACCCAGTGTAGAAATTAGGAGAGCTGGCTGGGGTCATCTGTCACTGTTAGGGAACAGGCTGGGCACAACATCGTGGCATTCAATTGTTTTTCCTTTTTAAGCACCATTATTGATACAACGAGCCTTTCTTTCCACTTCACGCTCGAGACTTTACGCTGAAAAGTTTGTAATTGGCCTTATAAACAAGTCAAAGCCATGTCTTGCCCTTCTAATGATCCAAATTGTCGCCAAACTCCCCTAAATTTTGCTGAGATAGCATTAAATATCCTGGTGTGCCAGGAACACATCAGCTAAATCGGTCAGAGCATCGGGGCAAACGCTTCTCCCCCTGCAAACACCGCTAGGAGTCAACTCCGTATTTTATCGTGCAAATGTTGAGATGCCCTCCTTGTCCCCTGGGGTTCTGAGTAGCGAGGAGTAAATAATTCACAGCAAATCATTTATTCAAGACTTCTGCCTGTGTTTTGTGTCAGTCCAAGAACATAAAAACCACGTCCTCCTTGCTCAGATTCAGTCAACCCGTGCTTAGAGTTTGGGTTGGAAAATCCAAAGGCTGGGACATGTAAGGAGCTGCTGCAGGGGTTTTGCTGCGCTGTACATGCTGAGTGGGTGCAGTTGGCTTTGTCAATGCCATCCATTTGTCCCTGTTCCAGTGGCATGAGCTGAATTTACTGCCAGGGGATGGCCCTGAGCCCAAAGAAAGAGTCCCTTTAGCAGACAAGATTAGGTTCAGGTTGTGGACAGAAAATAGTTTTAGTGAGAAAGAAGGTCATTTTATAGTGACCATTTAGGTTAGGGCTTCTCTAGCCATTCCTCCTGAGTGGTGTTAATCATGTCCTCTCCTATACTCTCTATAGGATGTTTATTCTCCCACATTTTAGTGCAAATCCTGGCCCTGGGTTCTGCCTCTTACAGGGTGACCACAGTCTGGAAGAACGAACGGTGCACATGTTATGGCTGTTATGCCATCCCAGGGGATCACAGGAGAAGCTGATGCTGGTGGCACAGCCACCCTGAGAGCTGGGACAGCACTGCCTCTGTCCCCTGGCTGGGACAGGGGGCTGGGCAGAGGGGAACTTCATTCAAAAAGCAATGCAAAACACCCCCAAAATCCCAGAAATGCATGTGATTAAAAAACAGGGTGATGTTTAAAAAGCCATATTAATCCAAGCACCATTAAAAAAAAGAATATATTTGTATATCCTGCTTGGGAAGTCATTCCTTTGGAGCTACCTGAGTGATTCTATAATTCTATGTATCTGTAAGTTCCCTTTGGGAATTCACCCCTCTGGAGCCACCTGAACTAAATTAAACATCAAGGACCAGAGTTCCACATACACCAAGCTCTGGCAGTGGTATCAGTGTCAGTCAGAATCATGCCCAGCAGGGCACTGACGACCCATTTAATCTCACAAAAGCTGTCTGGTGCCAGCAATCTCAAGAACAATAACAATTAAAACGGACACAAATGTTTATTTCCCATTTCTTTGCCACAAACTGAAACAGGACAGTTGCTGAGCCCTAAAAATGGAAAGGGAAGCAATTATCCTTAGAAATAAAGCCTCTGGAAAATTTCTTTTTTTCCCCACTGTATTTCCTGTATGAATTCCTCCCTTCATGCAGAAAGGGAAATTTTGCATGTTTTAATTAGATCAGTTGAAAACTTGGGAAAAAGACAACCTGCTTTGCTGTGAAGCTCCTTATTGAAGAAAAGTTTTGAAAGTTCAGGAACTTGGAGAGAGCTTTAAATCTCCACGGCTAAAAATAATTTGTCCCTTAAGAAAATGCCTTTTTTTTTTTGATTTATTTATTTTTTTAATCTCTGCCTTAGATGACTTCAGGTCATCAGAACATGGAAACTGAAGTAGGAAACTGGAAAAATCTTTTTCTTTTCAACTTTCTGCTCTTCAGAATCTCTTTGTTACTAACTGGGCAGCGGGTGATCCCTGCAGGGCTGCCATTCCACTTGGCTTTGCAAGAAGTGGTGCAGCTTGATGAAATATGACTTGACAAGATGTTTGGAGCTACAGCTGGGGATGCAGACTCCAGCAGATTTCTACACCTCCTCTTCAGTAGTTTTAATTTTTTTCTGGATTACCTTTATTAGCCTTATTTTGAATTCTTTTCTTCTTTTTTTTTGCTCCAGTGATCACATACTGAGCAAACACCCCAGGCCAGCTGCTCCACTGGTGCATGGTCAGGACAGCTTGGGCCATGTTAAGGGCAGAGCACCAATTCACCTCAGGGTAAGATCAGGCCTCAGGACTTACACCTGCTGCTCCCACCAAACTGTACAGGAAAATTAGTGTAATTCCCATTGTCACAATACTCTGTCTGTTCTTCAGTGGACTATAGGGTCATGGAATCATTAAGGTCATAGAGTCCAACCACTAAGCCAGTACCACCACGTTCACCACTAAACCAAATGCCCAAGTGCTACATCCACACACCTTTTGAACACTTCCAGATGCAGAGATTGCACCACTTCCATGGCCAGCCTGTGCTGGGGCTTGACAATCCTTTGGGTGAAGAAATTTTTCCTGATGTCCAACCTAACCCTCCCCTGTTGCAATTTGAGGCTGTTCCCTCTTGTCGTGTTACCCGGGAGCAGAGACCAACCTCACCTGGCTCCAAACTCCCATCAGGGAGCTGTGGAGAGAAACGAGGTTCCCCATGACCCTCCTTTTCTCCAGGCTGAGCACCCCCAGTTCCCTCAGCTGCTCTTAATGACGCTTGTGCTCCAGCCCCTTCCTCAGCTCCCTTGCCCAAGAGCAATTTGTCTCCATTTACTTGTAAGGCTCATGGTCCTGTTTCCCTTTTGCTAACGCAGAATTCACACCTTTGATTCCTGCCCGCAGACAGACACGCCCTCGGGCTGTTTGGCTGCCCAAAATCCTGACGGGTATTTTCTGGCAAGGCTGACATCGAGCTGCATCATTTCGCAAGTGGTGATACCTGCGGGAGCCGGCAGGAGATTGATAACCTCGAGCAGCAGTCACCCCGATCCTTAACTTGATGCCATTTGCTCCTGCCGTGTGTGTGTGCCTCTCTCCCCCTGCAAACAGAGGGTGTGATGTATTTGCTGAGCCCTCCCGGCAATCCCTGTGCGTGTGGTCCATGCACGGAGCTCCGCAGCTCGTGTTGGTCCCAGCACGGCTTCCCTGCCCCTGCCGGCAGAGCTCAGGCTGGGGCACCTGATGTCTGCTCTCAGAAATGCCCCATCAGTTCCCCTCACAGGCACACACGTGGGTTTACTACACCTTTGAATTGTCAGAAAGGAAGCAAAACCTCAGACTGGGAATAAATATCCTGGGAAGAGTGTGCTGTGAGAGCGCACAGTGCCAGGGAACGGGGGAGGGCCTGGCAGTTGGGGGCACTCAGGCACGTCAGACTATTTGTATGAGACCACTATTCACCTCTAATTTTAGCCCTTAGGATGAATACCTTTGAAGCTCTTATGCTCTCTTGCCCTGGATATCTGTCCCAAACCTGGTCTCAGGTTTCAGATATTAGGAAGAAATTCTTTCCTGTGAGGGTTGTGGGGCACTGGAGCACAAAGCTGTGGCTGCCTGATCCCTGGATGTGTTCAGGACCAAGTTGAACAGAGTTTGGAGCAACCTGGTTTAGTGGAAGGTGTCCCTGCCCATGGCAGGGGGTGGAACAAGATGTGCTTTAAGGTCCCTTCCAACCCAAACCATTCTGTGATTCTATGATTCTATATATAAATACTCTGAAGCTAGTCATGGTTTACTTTGCATTAAGTGACTGGAACTATTTTACATTCCATCACTGCCTCACGTTATTTTTGCTATGTTCAGTCCTTGGTTCACAGGCTTCCTTTCCCCAGCAACTCTGAGCCACCCTGCATTTCAATAAAACCCCTGAAATCTCTAGACAGAACTGGAAATTTACTGGCAAAATCACTGCTTCCATCCCACATCAGCTGGGCAAAAGCAAATGCTCTCAAATGTGTGTCTGAGAGGGCAGTGGGAAATGTTTGCTGTCACCTTTACCTGCAGCAGGTGCAGCATTTCCCCTGGCATCTTATTCCCCATCCACAACTTCAGGATGAACCCAGGGGAGACCCCAGAGGCAAGAACAGGCATGGGGATCTGGAGTGCAAACTGCTTGAAATGCCAA